TAATTTTGTTAAGTCTCAAGTTTGGACGCTGCTATGATGGGCATGTTTGGTTCAGAACCCAGCTGAATCCCACGGTCCTCAGAGCTCGTTTCAGTGAGCAGCGAGATGGGAGGCCTTTGACCTGCTGCGACGAAAACTAACCGTTCCTGCCGCTTGTCCTCCGCAACCGCACAATGCACGGTGAAGCATGTTCCTCCGCCGCGGACCGATCCCTGCTGGAAGCCAGACGGATGCAAAGCAGATCTTTCAGAAATAGATGTCTGGGTTTTCGATACATTTTAAGTTAGCATTTCCTCAACTTTGAATCTTATGGAGGCTGTTCGTTTTTTTTTTTTTACTTTCTTTTTTTAATTAGAAAGATGCATCCTTACAGCTGTTAGAAATTTTAAAAGCAGTTGTTGGTTTTTCCCTTGTTTTACAAGGATGACAACAGCGAAACCATCTGTCTATTCTGTAAATACAACAAGAGTCTAGAAAATTGCCTTATTCCTTTAAGTAGTTCCCTAGCAGCTCCGAGGGCGCGGGAGGCCTCTGACGATTACACGTCTTCAGAGGAAGCCGAGGAGGCTGACGGCCGGGTGGTCACAAGGCCTCCGCGCCCTTGGCCCAGCCGCGTGGGCACTGGAGGGGCGTCTTCTGTTGGATGGGTGGGTCTGATGCCACTGCTGTCCTCTTTTTCCGCTCAGGGGTGAGCCTGCTGATTCCGGCCGGGGCCGTTCCCCAAGGGCGCGTCTACGAAATGTACGTGACCGTGCACAGGAAAGAGAACATGAGGTAAACGGCTTCCCCTGGGGCAAGGGACTTTGTCACCGTCTAAGACGTGGAGGAAGATGAGACACAGAGGGAACAAGCCCCCTGTCCTTTAGACGGGAGGGTCTGCGCCCGCCACCCGTTTGCTTCCTGGACTTCTGGCATGTCGACTGTCAAGGTCTCTTACCTTTGATGTGCCAGATCCAGCTGCGGTCCTTGAGTAGGGACACGTTCAGAAGAGGTGTTTCCTCAACTAGACACACATGGTCATCACCACTGAAAAGTGGCCCAAAATGTCCTCCATAGATTGTCCCGAGAGACGTGTGGGCACAGGGACATCAGCTTCACGTGGTCTGGCTGAGGAATCCAGTCTGCTCCCCGTATAGGGTTAAAGGTCACAAGAATCGAACAACTTATTAGCCCTGGCCGGCCACCTCCACCTTAGTCTAGCATTTTCGTCTTATCCACACGCACGTTGTTTGGGGTGACTCTCATCCAATTAAATGTTATCACCCTCTCTCTTCTGTCAGCCTCTCAGGCAGCAGCTGGGCACCTAACCCACGTCACCACCAGGGTGCCGCCTTCAGTTTAGCACTTGTCAGTAAAGCCCATAGACACACCTTTCAGAATGAGTACAGTGTTAACACAATATCACTGAAAGAGTTCTATTTTGAGGGTGTCATTATCCTAAAAATGATTTAAAAACAAACAAACACAAAAACAAGAATAGTTTTAAAGTTGTAAAATTCCTTTCTCACTTCAGCCTCTAACAAATGGCACATGGATTTTATTAGTTCCCATATGAAGTCTGTGTCTTTAGAGGAGCTGTAAGGCTCGACTGATGAATGTTTCTAAGTACCCTGAGATCGTGAAATAAAAGATGCGTGCAAGGGGAGGTCCTTTTCAACGCACTGACCATTGTTTCCCCCCCGGGAAGGGCACAGGGCCCGGAGTACCCAGCCCGGGGGACAAATGTAGAACTAGGCTGTCTATCCTGCATTATACCTTCTCGCCTCCTCTCTCTGATCCTCAAAAAAAACATCCATTTTTAGTTTGACTCTTCTGTCGCACAGAAGCTCTTTTATCATGCTCTTCAGTGGATATATTGGTATTTATAATCTGTATGACCCAGAACATTTTTTTCTTCAGATGGTGTACTTTCACCTACACAAACACTACCCGGTCTGAGAAAATAAGAAAATGTCTTATGCTTTATTCAAGCATCACATTTGAGCCACTGAAAATCACTAAAAGGCTCGTATTTACTCACATCAAATATTCATTTTTTTCCATTCTTCATGCAAAGCGACATTCACAGACCATCAGAGCTCCCTCCTTCTGCAGCAAGAAAATGAAGATTCGCCAACCCTGAGATCCCCTTATTTCTCTTTGTCTTTTGTGCAGAGCCAAGGTTAGCATTCAGTACATCTATCCCACAAGGCCTTGGCTGGCATGGCCATTTTGTTCAAACCGACATGGGTACTGGCTCATACCGAGTCCAACTGTCTAGCGGGATACGGTGTGGTGCTTGTAGACCATATGATTCTGTCTCATGACCACTGTATTTAGGCTGGATGACCAGCCCTTAAAGGGGCCGCTGCAGGAGGGTATTGAACCCAAAATGAGTGCGCTCAGTTGCCTGGCATGGCTGTCCTTCCCATAGCTTAGATGCCAGCCTAGCCCAGATCATTGTACCCTTCAGATGGAAAAGAGAAAAAGAAGAAAAAAAAAATTTTTTAATACAGCTAGCTACTTCTGCTTTCAGCTTCCTTTGTCTTTGACTTGAAAGAAAAGGCAAGTATAAGTATTCCTTGATATGCCAACCACCTGAAGTGAGATGAGGAAGGTCTTATTGCTTGAATTGGGTGCACACCAAAGAGGACCTCTCCCTAAAAATAAAGCTACAGAAATGTCAACATTTTAAAGGATAATATGCACAAGAAACCACCATGCTAGGAAAAAACACACGCAGGAAGATAGCTGCCTTAGACAAATGCAAGGTGTCCTCCCTCTATTCGTTTTCTGTTGTGAAGTAGATGTGTTTTCATTGTATGAATATGCAAGC